ATTCCCAATTTCTGAATATTAATATTTTTTTTAAACGACATTATTATTATTATTATTACTATTACCAAAAAAAAACAGAATATTCCCAATTTCTGAATATTAATATTTTTTTTAAACGACTAATGTTCCAATATAAATTTAAAAAAAAAAAAGAAAAAAAAACTAATAATTATTTAAAGTATGGAATTTTTCGAAACATACTGGTACATGTAACGCAATTTTACACTTTTTGCACTCCCACGTTGTTTCGCTACGTTTTTTATGTCTGGAACAAACTTTACAGGCTCTTGATGGCCTTGATTTCGATGGCGTTGGGTCTATATGCTTTGGAAAATGTGCCCATTGTTGAGCGTGCAGTCTCACTGGTAAATCATCTTCTTTCGATAATCCTCCTCGTCCATAATATTCTATTAACGGTATATTTTTCAGTAATGATTTTGTCAATAATAATTTTTTCACTTATTTACAATACAATTCTGTATTTTTTTTTTTTTCTTTTTTTTAAGTGTAAAATTCTATCTCTTTTATTTGAAATTCCATCTATTATTTAGTTTCTCGAACAAAATGTAAGAGGAGTTTTTAAAAGTGCAATATCTAAAGCACGTAAAACGAAAACCTACTCTTCTCCTCTGTTACAACCTCCTACCACCCTCCCCCTCCTATCTCTTTAATTCAAATCCTAAATTTTCTATCCCTCCCCCCCCCCGTAAAAGATATTCTTCCAACAAATTTGATAAAATTTGTTGAAAAATTAAATCGCGAGTCCGTTACGCATAGTATTGTTATTGTTATAATTTGACCAGTGTGTTTCTCGAATGCGAATTCTCCATATTTGGTTAATTTTCGAACGATAATGTAGAGCAAAGGGTTAAAACAAAAAATGTCAGCCCTAATCAAGAAGCAGTTTGTTAAAAAATTAATTACTCCTTATCGGAGAACATTAATTTCGTATATCAATGAATAATTCTGGCTAGGGAATAATTATATTTGCAATAAAAAAAAAAATTATGTCTTCTTCTAACTAATAATAATAATAATAATATAATCCAATTACGTGAATTAAAATCATTTTCGCATATAATTGTCTTCAAGAGATATTTCACTAAAAAATATTTCGCAAAATATTTTTTAAATTTCTATTTTTAAAAAACATATTCCCGTGTATCAGATATGATAATAGCTGGGGGTTGGGGGGCTTCAGCAATGTTCATACTCATAAAACAATTGTAACGCAAATTAAATCAGATATCGTATAACGTTTTGTCATTTCTAACGTGCCATAATACGAGGAACACGACCGTCATTTAACCGCTTAAAATAAAAATAAATATTACATGATAAATATCCGAATAATTTATCAGCGTTAAAAGAAATATTATATTATTAACACGTGTTAAAACGTGTAAAAAAAATATAATAATTGAAAATATTCATGTAATTTATTAAAACAAGAAAAACAAAGGTGTGGTTTCCTCCTATAACATTGGTTACAAAAGGTTCTAGCTTTTTTCGTTATATTTTTGGCAGTCTTGTAACCTAACACATTAGTGAATTTTGTTTATAACATTCCCTGCAGTATCCCTTCTAATATTACGCATATGGCCTTTTCTTTCATTTCCAAATGATGACGAGATTTAATATCTGTGTCAATTTAACGACTGTGTAGTTTTATTTTCGCAGCAGAGAAAAACAAGTTGGTTTTGTAGTAGAAGTTTTTAAATTGCAATTCAGCGAAAACAGGAGAACATTTAAAAATAGAGTCAAACCCGCTATTTCTTTTCTCGTCGCCCCCTCCCCCCTTCTCCTACCATATCCCTCCTCTTACCCCCTTGAGAATGAACGAATTTTTCTTTATGTTATTATTCCTACATTTTATCTTGATAATTTTCGCTCATTCGCTACACAACAACACGACAAGAAACAGTAATGACGACAATGAGGACACAATAATCACCATCACTACCACAACCTACCACCCAAACCACCACCACGACGACGACGGATAATAAAACACAAATATTTTATACAATCATTCTCTCACTTGTGCGAGTCAATTATTTAATCCTTTCCGATCCCTACCATTCGTCGTCCATTCATAGATCACCCCACTTGACTTGCTACGACGAGTAGGACACGTTGTTATACAGCACACGGGATTAAAAAAACCCTTTCGATACTACCCTAATGATTATATTCACCCAACGTTACTGTATCCTAACTTTGATTATAAATAATCACCCCTCCCCCATAAATATATTTATCCTTCTAATTTACAATATTATAAATTACCTTTGCACCGAACTTAGTTCTTTTTATCTTTTTACAGTCAAACGAATTAACAACTCGAGATGATTTTCCGCATACGTGACGAACGTATACAGGTATGTATAATTACAGGTGTCATACAGATAACACCGCAAACACAATCAACACAAAATGAATTTTTTTATAAAACAAATGAATTTACAAGAGAACATTATATTATTATTTTCTTGCGTGTGTATATATATATATATATATATATATATATATATATATATATATTATTCATCCATAATTTACATTTTAAAAACTTTGTGTACGATTAATTTCTGTAATTCCTTTTCGTATGATAATTTAAGAAACATTTGCCAAAATGCATCCTCGGTTTATCCGGACAAGTATCGCAATAATATGTTGTTTCGTGTCTTCCGCCTGGTTTGCTTCGGCAAGAACAAACCTTACAATCCTTTTTAGTTCCTGTCAGAAGTGCATGTAGTTTTCCATTTAAACGAATTTCGTCATAGTAATTACCGATCGACGTCGAAGCTCGATCTCGCGGTTGTCGAAAATCTTCTTTCAACAGGACCACTAAAATATTTATAAATTGCAACTAAGTTAAGTTGGCGTAACTTTATAGTTTCTTTTGCTTCTTTTTTTTTGTTTTTTGTTTTAATAACTAACAAATTGTAATTACTTTCAAATTAATATTAATAAATTTTCGATCTTTCACTTCAGTGACTCATAACACACTATAAATTTGATATAGTTTTTGATTGAATTAGGTTGATAAAAAAACAATGGTTGTTTAATATTCGAGGATATCCCTCCCCCCTTCGTGGCCTGACAAGTTCTTTTTCGCTAACTATGAATTTTATTCTCGGTGGTATATATTTTGTATTATTAAAAATCTTATGGGATCGCATCGTCACACTGTTACTTTCAAATTTATTATATCTATTACAACTAATACCATAAAATTGTCACTATTCTCAATCACAATTTTTTCATTATTTTCCTCTATCACCAATTAATTTTTCTTCATGAATTAAATAATAGATTTAATTATTAAACAATTTACAATCAAATGTTATCTTCGTTTGAGCTAATTACACGTACAAGGTAAAATCTTATTTGTAACATAAGTATCCGTACACATCGAAAACGAATGACTGAAGAACAGTTGTTGTATCGAAAAAGGGTTCACGCAAGCTACGTTTAAAAAAAAACATATTATTTCCCATTACCACCATTAGGTTTTCTTTTCTGTTAATATCTTTGTTATACTTCACAACAGATTTGATTTCTGTTGTATTTCGTTACTCAATGTGCAAAACAAAAGATGTTGTAAAACATTTACAACGAGTTATCCTATCTCGATTTTAGATTAATTGTTTAAATTACTTGCAATGAACTGAAGAAAATTTGATATATGTTTATTGTTCGTACTTCTAATTTTAATTTTATTTAAAATCGTACATTCATAGAAATAATACGTTTCACAACTATGACAAAAAGAATTAAAAACACAACATACGAAAAGATTCACGAACTTTCAACGAAAAGGATTAATATACTCGCATTAAACCATCACAATCATTCACACACATACACACACATGGTGCATGGCACATAAATGCACAATTTCTCTCGTATATTATTTTACAGTCAATATACTACTATTATTACTATTATTCTCTCGGACGCTTTTTTAATTACAATGCTCAAATGCATTTTATACACAGCTTAGCAGTTAAATGTGAAATATTATGTATATATATATCGACAATTATGGAAACAGAAAAAGAGAGAGATAGATAAATAGAAATAGGAAAAAATAAATAAATTAGGAGAAAGAGAAATTCAAATCGATAAGCGTAATTAACAACACATTATTGAGATTACTGTAAACGGTTAAATGATAATAATCAAAAATAATTAATTCGTATTTCCGTTTATATCTTTATCTCACGCACATTTAATAACATTTAAAAAATAAAAAAGAATATCAGAAATTAGAGAAAGAGAGAACATAGAGAGTAGTACACATCGAACATGTCCACTCGCTTATTATTATTTTTTTTCTTTTTTCTTTTTTCTATTTCACTTAACAATCCCCTACAGTCTAAACATACACCATAAACCATAAAACACGCTCGCGTACTGCGTGGACAAATAGAAATAATAATAACAAAAAAATAAAAAAAATAAAAATAAGAGAAACTCTTATCCCATTGATCATATGATCCAATTTAACAATAATAATAATAATAATCATTTCCCATATTGAATAAGGATTTTAACGGAACGTATTGTATATAAATATATGCATTCAGCATTAACAGAAGTTACAAACGCACGCGCACGATGAAGTCCCCACCACATCCCATAACCCCCCTCCCAAAAAATAAATACAATAATGCAACACCTAAAATGACACAACACACAGAGAGAGATAAAACGAGGACGCACTAAGAGTGTCTAGGCTGGACCAAGCTGTTAGGCTGTTGTCTCCATCTTCTCCTGACGACGTTCAATTTTTTCAAATAAAATTGCAAGGTCGACCGATTGATACCATACATCTCTGATGCTTGGGTGGTGCTAACGCCCTGTTGCAATATCGCTTCCAATGACATTTTAACCGAATCTAAACTATATTTCCTTCCCTGTTTGTTAGCCAGAGATTTAAGTAATGCACCTACGTCAACTTCCGGTCTAGGACGTCTCGTTGTCGTTGTAGTCGTCATCGTAGTATTCGGCACTTTTTTACAATCGAGGAAATGCGACGCCCATATGGTGGCACCGGCACTACCAACACCACCACCACCACCAACGACGACACTACCATCACCATTACCAATACACTCGTCAACACCACCAACAACAACTTCGCCAACGTTACCACCATCAACCAACACGAGACCAACACCAACACCACCACCACCACCAACACCTACATTCCCTCTCGACCCTCGAGACCGCGATACCGCTCCCGCCCCCCCACCTGCAACGAGGAAACCCAAGCTAGTGTGTCGGCTAATTTTTAAACCCGCGATTGTATTGGTTTTTTATTTTTTATTTTTGAAAAATGATATTACCAAAACATAACGAAAGGAACAACACCGCGACACCAAAATCAATTCAATACTATATATAGATATGTATAATTTTTTGATAGCCCTATCGTGATGACAATTGAGGATATTGATGATGATGATTTAAACATCATCATCATCATCATTATCATTATCGTCGTCGTTACAGAAAAAGATAAAAAGAGGGTGAGAGAGAGAAAGAGATATATATATATATAGAAAGAGGAAGAATGAAAATTCCCAAAATCCTAAACATTCTGAAGATCGTCTTACGCAAACACCCTAGTTAAGAATTCTAACTGGGAACTTAGAATTCTAATCTGTGGTGAAAAATAAGCTCTCCTTCTATCCAAGAATACTTTCTTTTTCCATTTCTTTTTGGATAGAAGATTCGCTGATAATAATATATATATATAGATATATAAACATGTATATGTATATGTTTTGTTTTTTTAACAAGTGTAACCCTGTTCTATGAGAGAGAAAAAGAGAGACCCTCGTGTTTTTGCAAACACATTCTTTTTTAGCATTTCAACCGTCCACCGAATATGATATATAATTATATAAACTATACTAATATATTATAATTAATATATAATTATATTATATTATTATTTATTATTATATAAATTTATATATAATATAATAGTTAATATATAATATATATAGTTTATTTATGTAAAAATCTATACTAATTTATTCATTACAATTGTTATTAATGTTGTTGTTGTTATTATTATTGTTACTACTGTTATATATTATTACTGCTTCTTTAATGTTCTTTTTTTTCGGTGGGAGTAAAGATTAATATATTCGCATGCATTTGGCAATTTAAATTAAAAACGAGGATAGGTGGGGGATTTTGATTATCAAGGTGGACGAGAATAATATAATGAACTAAAAATATTAATGAATGAATAAATTAATAAATGAAATATTGTTTCTGATTGCTTACCAGGATGTTGGGACGTGTCATGGGAAGGTCCTGCTCTGTTCGTGTCTTGTTCAATTTCATTTAAATCATTCATGTCATCGTCTAGCGTCAAGTCTTCGACACTTTCTTCCTGGTCCTCCATATACTCGGACTTTGGCTCAATGAGATTATCGCTCGGTTCAGGATTTTCGAGAGGCATCTAAAGATTAATTACAATTCGATGTTAATTCATATTATGTTCATAGAGATATTAACATTTATTACAAACTAGGATTAAAAAAGAAACGTTATAGAAATTTATGAGAATCGTGTTTCGTACCGTTTCCCGTCTACGAGAGCATTTAATTAAGGCTAACAGGCAGAAGGATATAGTACGAAGTTTAATTTGCCAACGCGCGAAAGAAAATGAATATTAATGTAATTCAAGTTCCATTATAAACGTTGGCGAGAAAACAAAACAAAAAATATAAACGATGTACAATAATATGCATATTGAATATGCACAGAATAGGAATCAATATTGTTTCTAGATGTTTTTTTTCTAATCGAATTCCTTATGTTTATTCAACAGAGTCCCTTGAAAAAAGAAAAAAAAACCACGAACGACCGGAGACTAAAATTTTTTCAGTAATTTTTTGCGTTACACGTTTTTTTAAGTAAAACACAGTTTGCATCGATGGTGTAAGAAGAAATGGCACGTGCTGCTACGACGTAATAAACTTTCAGTTCCTCGAGTCGCTGCTTTTTGCATTTTGTAAATTATTGCTATTGAAAATTATTCAAGAAATGAAATAAATATTTAAAGTATGTTATATGTGTGTATATAAGTGTGTGTACAAATTTTTCAATAATTTGGAAAGCATCATCATTAGTTCATAAACCTATAGAGAGTTTGTTTATTGAATCGCAAGATAATGTGAATACTGATCCATGAATTTTATAAAATAAACGTCGTGAAAAATGAAAATGTATTTTACTCGATAATTTTAAACTGCATTACAGAAAGAAAAAAAAGAAGTTTAATTTGTAATTAGCATTGTTTTTTGATCATTTAAAAATACCTTTGCTACCAACATAAAAACTTAATAAGTTTCAAATTTACATTATAGGAATGCACATTAGACCCCCGCTACTACTAATAGGGGGAACATTTTTGGTTCTTTATTCTGTACTTAATTCAGGAATGAAGATTAAAAAAAAAGGAATAACATTGCAAATTTGAAGTTCTAACCTGTAACATCTCGTCGGCAGGTTTCGTCAACTGTGTCATTAAAGCTGACCTGCCGAGAGAGTCCGTTGGATCCGCATTCGTTTTTTCGTCCGCGACAGGTGCTATCGCAAGTGCCGGCACGCCCATTTGTTGAGGTATATCACTTGAATTCGATGCTTCGTGATTTTCTATAGAAGTATCTTCACCGGCACTTCTTCTTCTAAGTTTTCTTCTTTTCTTTGATGTTGGGCTGAGCGAACCTTCCCTGCTTTTGTGATTAAATATATTTATGTTAAAACAAATTGCTTTGCTACACGCAATTTCACGTTATTTTTTGTTGTTATTATTATTATTAATATAATTATTTAAGACCATATTTTCTAAGAAATTATTAACACCAAACATACCATATGCGAATTTTATTTTTAAAATGAAAACCTATACATTCATGGTTTTAACTCTGTATTTTTTTTTAATCTCGACTAACTTACTTATAATATTGATTATTAAACAATGCAATTGCATTTAATCGTCAAAAGATATAATTTAAATTTAAAATCCGCCATAAATAATACCTTAAAGATAATTTAGGTATTAAAAGAAATAATAAACAGAAGTTGTTTTTAGATCACCTGATTATATAGTATTAATGCTTAGTAGGTTTGGTGTTTAATAAAAACTGATTGAAAATAAATAAATAATATAAGGTAAGATTGTGTTTCTTACCTCGAAGAATGTTCCTTGGGAATTTGAGGACTATGCGAATCTTCTGGCAAATCTCCTATCGAACTTGCCTGTCTAGGAACTCTGTTCCTTTCAATGGTGAGACCGGCAGACGCGTAGGAAATATTTAGAGGTGATGACCTTGGTTGTGGAGCAACTTTAGATACCCTCGAAAGTGATTTATTATTACCATTACTACCAACCGTTTTACTTTCCGAAAGGCCTTTAATTTGTAATGATTCGGCAGCCTTAAGGAGTGCCGTTAGTTGGTCTTGGGAGATATTAACTTCTCCCCTGTACATATAATCAATCATTGCCTTCAATTCTTTAAATTTTACATCTTTGAGTATAAATACAGGGTGCATATCGTAATGCTCGCTAAGAAGGCCCTGAAATCATATCAATTTATTCCTCATTATCATAGTTACAATTTATACAACACTCAATATAAGATAAACGTGTGTATGCGTTAACTCATTATGACCTAACCATTACATAACATAAGTGAAACTTATACAAATTGAACTTAAATGCTTCCAAATTATATTACAAAATTAATAACCATTTTCTGAGACCTTTTAAATTCAATTTCGAAACTATAATCTAAGTTAATGAAAAAACATAAATTAAAAAAAAATCCTACGTAGTCTCGTTTATGAGAACAAATTAAGCTTAATAAAAAAAAAAATAAAAAAAAAAAAAAAGGAAAAAGAAAAAGTAAAATGTGTATATAAAATAAAAAATTAATCTAAATGAAACCAGTCCAATAAGAAATAATGCTGTAATATCAAATTGATTAATAAGTAATACTACCCAGTACTCGATTTAAATCGACTTGAATTTCAATCAATATGAAACACACACACACATATCTTGCTACCTCTTAAAACCTCTTCGTCACCCCCCTCCCCAACCGTCGGTAGTGGAGTTCAGGGTAAAATCCCAGGGAAGTGCCCTGGAAAGCAGCCATTTTGCTTTCTCTGTATTGATCAAGAGTATGGGGGTAGGGGTTAGAGAGGGGGTTCATGTCTGGCTCTTGCTACTCATTCTCTCTCTCTCTCTCCCACCCAGAAAGAGAGAGACGGAGAGAATGAACAAGTACAGCAGAGGGCGGCCATGTTGTTTTAACACAACTCCCTTTCCCCTATGAGCCACCAGACAAACCCCTTCCATTCTCTTCTCCCTCTCTCACCTATGTATTTGGTATTGATCTGACTCTGCATTGAGTGAAAGAGAGAGAGAGAGAGAGAGGGAGAGAGAGAGAGAGAGAGAGAGAGAGAGAGAGAAAAGAGTGGTAATAGATAAAATATTAAGAAATATATTTCAACTAAAATATTAAATCAACATTTTGAATTAATTAGCGAGACATTAAATCAGAAAATAAGATAGCGAATAATTTGGATTTATCTGCAATAACTTAATTCGGTAATTAAGATGAACAATGCTATCTTATTAAATGAGATAAAAAAAATACGAATTAAGTATATTACCAAAATAATTCACGCAATCGCAAGATACATGTGTGTACGGTTTTTTATTACGTTGGCGTTAGAAAAATCTTGTTGTTTATGAGAAAATTATTGGATTATGTAAAAGGATGGAAAAGAATGAGATTGTAAAAATGTATATGAATAAAACTTACCTCAAAATATGGACTGCACGCGGAGAGGACTACCCTGTGGGCCTTTAGGTATTTCCCCTCCGCTGCCAACGTGCAATCGACCAGCGTGCCACTCTCTAAAAGCGTGTCGAAATTTTGAATCAATGTGCTTTGATGATTGTTCCATTTAAGGCAAAACTGCTGGTCATCATCCATCTTCTCTGGTATCGTTTCCTCGTTTCTGTGAAATTAAATTGAAAGCACACCCATGAACGAACAAGTCTATTGATTTATCGTAAAAAATATTTTATAATGATGTTCATACTAATGATAATGATATGATAGTAATAAATATATATAAATATATATAAATATATAAATGTGTTAATAATTTACTCGTTAATTAAACTGATGATGGAAGACGACAGTAATAATTATTCACGAACACGCCCGATACTATCTATACTTTCCACGTTTAATAATTAAATCGTACATCGAGCCGACACACGACAACGCACTACGGCAGCACGTTTTTTCTATTTGTCTGTATATCTCTATCTTTCAATTCCTTTCTTATTAGCGTGTTGCTTTTTCTTGTATTGTCTCCCTCGCCGTTTCCGGTTGGAACACTAAAGAGAATCAGATAGACAAATAGAGAGACAGAGAAGAATAGGCGCGCAGCGGAGTAATCGAAAGCTCCGGAACGAAGCACTGAAGCTTCCAAAATGGCCGGTATGATGCAAGCGCGCGTCGCTCTTCCGAACGGTCTATCTCTCCTGGGCCTTTTTCTTTGTGCGTGTCCCTCTGGGTAACGGTATAACCGTGCAACTTGGTGGGTAGTGGGGATGATACAGGAGAGGACGCACAAGCACCGCGCATGCGCACTTAAGAAAGTCGACTTCTGCGCACGACTTTTGCGCTGACTTGAGGACCCCTGGGACCCAGGGGCGTTTACTTTATTCTTTAGGCCCCACAAAAAAAAGAATTTTTTTCATCTTAGAAAAATGTTAACGACCTCAATAAAAGAACGAGCGAAGAAAAGAGAGGATTTGTTAGAATGTGTTCGTATTATATGTGTATGGATAAATAAAGTTGATATATGCATTCTATCAAGAAAATGAAAAAATGAAGTTGTAATCTAACCTTAATATTTTATAGGTTATCCGAAGAATCTTTCGATATAATCAGCAAATTCGCAAACGACGAACTAACACAGATTGATAATAGACGTGGAGTTGCCATGGCGCCACGGGGCTTGAGTTTAATGAAAAGTATAGTGAAGATAAAGAGAGACAGACAGAGATAGAAAGAAAGAGATAGAGAGGGACTATTTGAAGTAGAGAATAAAAAACATGGTAGAAGAAAGAAGAGAAAGATAGAAAGACGGAGAAAAAGGAGAGGGAGAAGAAAAACAGGCGCAAGTGTGTTGAATCGTGGCGCAACGAAACGAGACGAAACGAAACGAAACGAGACGAGACGAGACAAGACGAGAGAACAAGCTGATTTACGTCACCGGGATTTACATCAGAGAGACGCGCAATAAAGCGGCAAATCGATCCTGCCCTCACTTCTCACATGCGCAGAGAGACGAGAAACACGGGTAATCCGTACGAGATGAGGGGGGTGGTCTATGGACGTAGAACTGGGAGGTAAAGGAGGTGGTAATGGTAGTGGGGATAAAAGAAAGTAGAGGTGGAAAAAAGACAGACGATAAATACGTTAATAAAATCATACAAACGAAATATACGAACCCAAAAGAAAGATGTTACACCCCACGCAACGACACTTCTTCACAATTACGACGACGAGAGACAAGAAGGTGAAAAAGAGAGGAGTGTTTAAGACCGACGACTACGATGGACAGTCTGATTACGTAATCTATTTATATTGTTATCTACTACCAGAGTTGCGTTACGTCATGACGGCGCCCCAACGGTGCAATGTGCGTTAAAGGAAAACAACGAATTGTTGACAATTAATTTACCTTCGCTAGACTATTTCACAGAATTACTCATTCCCGATCAACACGTATAAAAATACATACATATATACATTACACTTTACGTGACGTTAATGCACACTTAATAATAGAATTGAAAATAGTAAAGGATAGGCAAGATAAAAAATATAAGTTAGTAGAAGAAAAGAAAAACAAGGAACACATATTCATACGTATAAGTATGTGTGTATGTATAAAAGTGAAAAAAATGGGGAGAATAAGAATAAGAATGAGAAAGAATGAGGAGTGAGAGAGAAGACGATACGAGACGTGGATGGCAATATGGCCGACGGCGAACTAGCGCCCGGACAAAATGGCGATGGGCAAAAAGCTCGTAATAAAAGCGCAAATCGTTTACGTGTACTTTCAAATGTGATACTTCTTCCCCTTCTACCAATCTCTTCATCACTAAGGAAAGAACATTTAATGTTTATCGAAACGTATTTACACGTAACACGATTTCTCTTTTAGCTATAACCTTTATAATAGTTTGGTTGGTAATAATAGTAGTGTGGTTAAGTGAACGACGAAGGTGAAGGGGAAACGCCCGCGCCATGTCAGCCGGCCTTTTGTGGATTTTCCGTAATTTTCATCTAAACGCGAATATTATTAACATAAATATACTATTTATATAAATGTATGTGTATGTATGTACGATAAACGTGCTCGATATATATGTGTATATGTATTTATGTATATTCGATTCGATTAGATTAATCACCACCAAGTCTCGTAGAGAGTTGTTATTAGATAGATGTTTTATAGTTTTGTTTGTATTGATTACCACTCACCTAATATAGGGTGTGTATAAAAAATGAATCTAATATCACAGCAATCGGGGGGGTATCGGTGAAAAGTGGAGAGAGAGAAAAAAAAACTACTCCTTTCACGGACGTCCGAGAATCGGCGTGCGTCTCCAGCGCTGCCCTTTTCAACAATGGCGCGGCACACGGTTGCTCGGTCACTTTCGCGACGACCGTCAGAGAGCGCAAGTCTCATATTTTCCGTCTCTCGCTTGTTCGCTCTATCTCTTATACTTTTACTCACTCACTCACTCACTCTATGTCTCTCTCTCTCTTTTTAACTAGAAATTTAATGGTGGGAGGCGTACGAACGAACGGTCTCTACGAGGGGATATGTGAAAGAGACGAGGGAAGAAGGAAACCTTCTAGAGCATGCGCTTTAACTTCTCCCAAGGAAAAAAAAGAAACAAACCTAGAGAAATGAAAAAGAAAAAGTTACTATGAGATCGACGCGAGCTTTGTGGTCCCTTTTTTGTTTTTTTCCCTATGAACGCTACGATCTCTTACAAGTTCATTTTCAAATAACTATACATGTAATTATATATACAATTGTTTTTCTTTTAATTATATGAAAGTAATACGTTTGATCTAGACATCAACCGTCAATAACATTTGACCTATTCTTATAACTGAAAAATATATTTTGAATTAAATTAAATTATTGTTAATTCTATAAAAACTGACCAACATGTGTTTATATCAGCATCCTTTATCATTTTTCTTTTTGGATATGTTTATCTAAGCAGCACGATCATTTGAAAGGATAACGTTCGTTATTTTAAAATACTGTATACCTTTGTATATAACGTGTATAGACGCTACGTATTACTTTGATTATATTGTAACTTATGTACAATACTTAAAATCGATAAGAAAAGTTATTTGGTTATTTTCCTTGCTTTAAATGGGAAATAGAATACAAGTTAGTGATGTTAAATAGTCGATTCGAATGTTGTCATCGTAAACGAGTTAGAAAGATAACAAATGAAATAGCCAAAACATGTAACGGTCGTTAGCTATGTATCTCAAGGATAGAAAGTGAGAGAGATAGAAAGAAATATATATATATGTATATACATATGCATATATCATACCGGTAAAATTGTAATGGCTAATAAAAAATGAATAACATATGAACATCTATAAAGATAATCGTGTCCGGCCCTGAATCGGGTCCTGGGACACACGTACGTAATGGCCGACAGTGTAGAATGGTTCACGACAAAATGGCGAAAACTCCGTAAAACGTGCCGGAAAATCGGATCCTTCCTAATCTTAATTTAATGACACGAATGCATAATTGTTATTAGCTATTTCAAACGTTCTTCGAAACGATCTTTTTATTTTCTCAGATAATTTCTCAATGAAAACATATTTAAGGGAATATAATTGAATGAAATCTGATGGAAAACGTTAGTAGAAAAAGTCGATGAAAATATTTGAACGAGATCGAAATCGTCATGGCGGAGCAAAGATCCCATTTTCACCATAAAAACAAACTTTAATGTATATTTTGAAAATAACCTTAAAACTGACCTCTTCCTTTCTTTTTCTGTTATATTTTTCTATTTTCTATTTTCTCCCTTTTTAAAACTATATAATTTTAGGGTGATAATGATAAATATAATAATATTCAATAGTGTATATTAGTTTGAATAAAAGTAGATGCGATTAATATGGACTCACCTATATTGGCACAATCTAAATATCACAGGAGGAAAAACTTGGAAAAACTACGCGTCCCCGGTCCTCTGCATTCAACTATCCGAGCGTCGTGGGTTCTTTTAACACAATGGCCGTGGTACTGCGCGGTAACGATCGACAAGGCTCTGCGCGCGGGCGGCCGGGACGCACGGAAACGGCGAGTCCCTTACGGGGAGACGCGGCGCAGAGAATTGAAATTAGTCTTCTGCGCAACGAAAATGCGAATAGTAGGGCAAAGAGAATGTCCAACTGCTCCAGGATCGTACACTCCTATTTTATTACCTACACTTTTCCTTTCTCAACGTAAATCTTAAAGTCGTCCTTAAATATATATTTTTATATTATTTACGAAACAATTACTCATTTTTGTTTTTTAACACAAAATTTTACAAAAAATCTAATCAAATTTAATCGATCATATATACAATTGTTTGAACTGTGTTGAATAGAAGAGACGTATATTTGTACAAATTTTATCTATAGAATTTATTACATTGTATTAAATGGAATTAGATAGGGAAAGATATTGTATGGATATTTTTAATTTTATTTCATGAAAAGTATCTAAGAAAGTTAAAAAAAAAAAAATATAATATTTTCATCAATAACAAATTTTCTTTATCATCTTTAATGTATACATAAGTATATTCATAAACTTTCTTAGCGACACTGGAGAAAATCTCTATCTCAACATACGAAATATGATTAAATCCAAAATTGTAAGAAAAATTCAAATCCCGGAAATTGAATTCAAGCCCCAATCGGTAAAGGCGCGAGTTTGAATAATTACCGATCGATAAGTTCCTAGAACGATGATACGAAATTCAAAATTGGATAAAGTAAAAACGTTCGATGAGAATCATAATAAATGGAAACTAAGAAACAATAATACCAAAAAAAAAGAAAGAAAATCTAAAATCAAATAATATATAAACAAAGAAAAGAGAAAAATGAAAAAGGGAAAATAAAGAAAGGTTAGTTTCCAGTGAAGTGGCGCGACGGTAGGTTACTAGATACGTTCCTGGTACAGGGAGTTAGAAGCGATATAAAGGCGGAAGGGATGTATCTCGGTAGGTAACGGTGGTACTGTTGGTGGGGGAGGGGGTGGTAGAAGCCTGGTTTCCGTTCAGGGGCGCGTATCGTAGCCGGCGAAAGGCGGCGCGGGAGAAGTGGAAAATTGACTGAGTGGGAAGAGAAAAATAGAAAGAGAGAAAGAGATAGAAATAAGGGGAAAGAGAAAGACAAAGATAGAAAGAAAAAGAGAGAAAAACTACGCGACGAAGACGACGACGACGACGACGCAAAGAAAACGCCGACGACGAAGACGAAGATGAAGACGACGACGACGACAACGAGAGAAGGAAAGAATCGTAGTCCAAAAGAAAATCGCTTAATCGGTTTGCGCCACCGTCCGCAACGAAACGACGTCCACCGTTGCCACCACCACCACCACCACCACCACCACCACCACCACCACCACCACCACCACCACCACCACCACCACACACCATCACCGCTGCCGTCGCCATCGCGGTGCCCCCTGGTGTGTATATGTGCGTGTTTCTCTCTCTATCTCTCTCGCTCTTATAGAATTCATCTATATATCTCTTTCCTTCTATCTTTCTAACTTTTCTCCATCTATATATATGTATACAGGTATGAAACGTGTGTATACATACGTATATATACATACGTATATATACATACGTATATATACACGTATATATATCTCTCCTTCTCCAAAGCTTTTTCTCCCTCTCTTTCGTTCGCTCTGAGGCAAGCGCGCTCGCTCAGTCTTTCTCTCTCTCCCTCCCTCTCAGTATCGTTTTCTCCCTCGCACTTAGCATTGAGTTGGTCTCTCTGTCTCTCGCTCTCGGTAACGCCGAGGATTCGCCGGAACAGTTCGCGGGACGACGTTTTCACGGGCAAACTGCGAGTGACAGCTGCCAGTCGTTGTCGGCGCGCGCTCTGCGTATATTTTTCCTCTAACTAAGTGTGTCTTATTCGAGGATATCTTTCTGCAGGTATATAACCGAGTAAATATTTATTATTGCATTTACTTGCACTACGTATTCTTACGTTTCATCGTCGTCGTTTTCATCGTCGTCGACGTCGTCGTCGTCGTCCTCCTTGTCCTCGCCGTCGTCGTCGTCGTCGTCGTCGTCGTCGTCGTTATCGTAGTCGTCGTAGTCGTCGTAGTCGTCGTCGTTGTTGTTGTTATTGTAGGCGACGTTTATCGGTGTGTCAAGTGTGATATTATGGAGTGTGAACAAATAATTATTTAAAGGATAAAAGGATATAGAAATATTAAAAGAGAAAGAACAAAAAGATAATTATTTTATTTAAACTGAATTATTTTACAACATAGTTTTGTCATCTTTATCGTCGTCGTGGTTGTTGTTGTTAATCGTTAAAATACAATCTCAGTTAAGTAAAGGAGAAGTATCGTGAAGCTGGAGTCTCCTATTGGTCGAGACGAAGTAGAAGAAGAAGAAGAAGAAGAAGAAGAAGACGACGACGACGAAGAGAAGGAGAAGAAGAAGAAGAAGAAGCAAAGGAGAAGGCACGGTCGAAGGCAAAACGGACGATCCAAAAGGCATTCCTTAGCAAGCTACTAAGAACACTATTACGAGGTGTAAAAGTTCGTGTGTGCCGGCAATATTATTTTTATTCATATTATTCATATTCTTACGGACTCGACGATATATTTCAACTACGATCAAATTGTGCTTCCAACGGTGCTGTTAGCTTCGTTTTTGGGTCAGGTCATGGTAAGGTAAGAGCACATTTTATTTATCGTTTATTTTATTCGCGTTTCGCTATACGAAATAAATCGACACATATTATATACACGTATACGTATTCGTATATTATCTGCATATAAATATTTGATTAAGTTTCGATGAAAAAAACAAAACAAAAAGAATAAACAATCTATAAAAATGCGCGTTTGATGATTAATATTTCGATTTTCGAATTGGCGGCCTTTTCGCGCCCTCGGACGCGCGGACCTGATTTGTTTTGATTCGTGCAATATCTGCGAACCAGCACACAGCTCGTTCAATCCTATCTCGTTCGAAGCTTTCTTTTCCTCAGCTTTCTGATCGATGTCTATTTCTCTCTTTCCCTTTTTTCTTTTTTTTTTTTTATTTATTTCTTTCATTTTATTTCACTTCTGTCCTTTACGTTACTTTTTTCTTTTTTTATGCGCTCGTACATCGTCGTCGTAAAAAAAAAAGTATCTTTTTGTTGTTCAATGCTATCGATCTTTTTTTCGAAAGCATGCTTCGTACATTTTCTTTTACATTGTTTTGAATCAACGACGCACAGCTGTGCGTTTCGTTCGATACACGCATATATACCAACATGTATATACACGCGTGTATTTATGTATGTATGCGTGTATACCAGATTACACTGTGAAACGGTCAATGTAAGCGTGCGTGGGAGTACGTGACAATAATCTACGACGCGTTAAACGACCTGTCATTCTGTCTCTGACGAATTAAAAAGCTCTCTCTCTTTTTATCTCTTTCTCCTTTGTTTTCTTTCTTCCTATCTCTCTTTTTCTCTCTCTTTCTCTATCTCTCTCTTATTACTTTTCTTCTCGCGTGACAATTTGCCTTTGCCACGTTCCGCGTTTGAAATGCCGTCGATTACGGTAGGTCACGTGCTCCCGATAACCAACCAATAATCGACGAATTATTCTCGCGCCTAAAACATCCTCATGACTAACGTAGTACTCCCCTTTAAATTTATAACCACGTTACGAATATTTCTCATGTCTCTTTATAAACTTTCAATTAAATTTATTTTTTATTTTTTGGTTTTGATTTTGTATATTTGATTAACTTTGTCATTAAATTAATATTTTTGTACTTTACACATTAGGTTAAAATATTTTTCTTTAATTCCTAGTAACTTTTATATTATCCATAAGAATTATCTTTTTATTATTATTATATATTTTGAATTAATATCGGTGGTAAATAAATTGTGAAAGTTTTCCTCGAAAGATTTTGCTTCGATTATTTCATTCTTTCTCTTTTTCTATTGTATGTTTACTGCATCTATTCTACATGTGTATGTATGTATATCGTATACATACAGACCATATATGCATCTATATATAATTCGGTATATATCGCGTGTCGATTTGTTGCTGTGCGTGACGGTGGCAACAGCCGCTTAGTTTCATTTATTCCGCGAATGAACGCGCGAACTTGACGACGAGATCAGACCGTGTGTGTCTGGTTACATATTAAAAAAGAAAAAGAAATAAAAAATACGTTATTCAGAAGAAAGAAAAAGAGAGAAATATTAAAACCGTAAGGAACATTCGTGACCTAGGGGAAGTGATTCACGTGACGTCAACTTGTATGTTATACTGTTCACGATACACATACATACACACGTGTAAATTTCATTGGTTGTTCGTTCTATCTCTTTTCGAACAAAAATATACAAAAATTTTGGAATATCGAGTAAACGTGCCATCTTGCACAAATCGTAACAATACAATTTGAATTGTTTTTCGATACTTTTTCTATCTCTGTAAATGCTTGGAAAAAAATAAAAAAAAATAAAAAGAGAAAGAGAAAAATCTATAGGTTGTATCGTGAAACATAACCTAACGCAACCCTAACGATATATATGTAAATCGTATTGGTTGTTTTCTCTCTCGGTCTTCCTTTCCGTCTATCTTTCTGGAATGAAAAACAGAAGTGGATAAAAATCTATAGTATTTCGGTGCCATCTTGTATTTTCAAGTACAATTAGATTTGTTCTTTGATAGTTCCCACCCCTTCGAATTCTTTAAAAACAATATATATTAAGACAAACATACAGTTACAAATAACATTGTTAAATATAACCCAAATTAAATCATATCAAAATATAAATCTAATTGGCCGGGTTTGTCTTTACATCTTTCCGAAAAACAAAAATGGCAGAAAATAGAGTACAGCGCGGCCATGTTGGAAAAATTCTTTTTAACTACAATTGGAGTAGGGTTAATATTCTCTTAGAATAATATTTTCCCCAATTACTTTTAAAACAAAATAATAAAAAAGAAAAAAATAGAGAAAGACAGAAAGAAGAAAATCCTGGGTTAAAAATAAATAAAATTCGTGAAAATGAGAGAAGAAAAAAAAAACAAGGAAACCTAGGAACGATATATTCTACAGGTTTATCATGGAACATACTCGATTGCGAGTACGACTAAGCGACACTAAAAATCGAGGGTCAATTCCCGCTGCGTCGCTTCTCCACGGGTACATACACACAAGAAAACACACCAAGGCAATAACACACGTGCACAAAAACACATGTATGCACGATGCATATATACTTGCATCCGAGGATTTTCTCTGGCATCGCAAACCCACCGAACGTTCACCAACATGCTCGCGCGGCCTACCTACCTACCTACATACATATATACTAACACACACAAATATATAAATGCATACAGATACACATGCATCGTGGATGCATACGCACAATACATATGAACAGAAGAAATATACACAGGTAGATGGAGAGGGAGAGAGAGAGAGAAAAGAGAAAAAAGAAAAAAGAGAAAAAGAGAAAGAAAGAGAGACGGAGAGTTGTACACCGGCGTAGCCGGTGATAAAGAGAAATGCTGCCTAGAAAGCAGGTCTTGACCGAATCTAGGCCACCCTGATGGCGCGTACACATTCTCCACAATTTTACTGTTCCTTCTCTCGGCCTTGCCGTGTTCGTCGTGCTGGGTGAAAGAGAGAGAAAGAGAGATAGAGATGGAAAGAGAGAGAGAGAGAGAGAGACACCTTTCCTCTTCTTTCTCTCTCTACCTCTCTCTCTCTCTCTATCTCTATCTCTCTTTTACTACCTATCTTTTTCTATTCTTTTATTTTTTTTTTTATCTTTTTTTCTTTCTTTCTACCTCTCTTTTTCTATCCTTTTTTTTCATCTCTCTCTATCTTTCTCTTCCTTTTTTTATCTCGTTTTCTATCTCTGTCATTCTCCCTTTATCTGTCACACATACAGAAACTGACGGACGGACGGATGGACAGACAACAGATACACATACAGAGACAAGAAATGTACAAGCGTATATATATATATATATATATGTATAGATATATAGAGTGTGTGCCTTTCTCTTCTTTTTTCTTCGTTATTCTCTTTCCTCGTATTTCTGTCTCTCGGTCGAACCAACCGCGAGTCTCTCTCTCTCTCCCTCTCTCTTTTTATCTTTTTCTCTTTCTCTTTTCCTCTCTCCCTCTCTTCCTATTCTTCTTTCCTCGAGGCATTTCAAGGATCGAGTTCCGGAGGACGACCAGAAAAGAGAGACTCGTATAGAAAGAAATAAAGATAAAGAATGAAAGATAAAAGAGAGGAGGAGGATAACAAAAAAAAATATGAAAGAGCGCATATACACGTGTGGTACGTATGTACATATGTTTATACATATGACAAATGTATATGATGTACATATGTACATATATATGCATGTATGCTATGTATATGTATATGTGTTGTATATAAAGCGATGACATTTTAACGATAACAAAATCCAAATCGATATTTAATACGACTTATTGCGAGTAGTGCAAGTACACATATATATATTTTTATATACACCGTGTACATATGCATAAGTGTATATGTACGGAAATATGAGAGGAAAGTTTAAAAAGCATTTTAAAGTATATACCACACTCTTTTAAGTAAATATAAATAAATAAATGAAAATTGTGTAAGGAAAGTCTGTGATAAAGTAATACGTGAATTGTATTCGATTTCAATAAGAGGGGGTGGAAATGTTTCCTACTAGAAATTTATGGATTAGAATGAAATTTTGTAAAAAAAAAAATAGAAATATAGAAAGAGAGAGAGGAGAGAGAGAGAGAGAGAGAGAGAAAGAGAAATTTCGGATAAAATCGAATGCGAAATCGAGTGTATATGAATTGAGCCTTCGCTCGAGGGATGTCAAGAGAAAGAGATAGAAAAAAAAGAGACAGAGAAAGAAAGAGAAAGAGAAAGAGAAAGATAGACGAAGGAGTGGAGAGGCAAGGGGAACGATCGAGAGCGACCTAGAAAGGTTTCAAAAGACATTTTCCCGTTCACCCACGTATAAAGCTAGCCTCCTCCTCCTCCTCCTCCTCCTCCTCCTCCTCCTCCTCTTCCTCCTCTTCTTCCACAACCTCCATCACCACCACCACCACCACCACCTTCTCATCCTCATCCTTCTCATCCTCTCTCACGGTAAGAGAGTGGTAAAGAAGAGAGAGTCCGTGGAACGTCGTATAATAATTGAGACACATGGAGAGGTAGGACAGAAAAAGAAAGGAGGGGGGACAAAAAAAAGAAAGAAAGAAAGGAAGGAAGGAAGGAAGGAAAAAAAAAAGTGCCGTGTTGAGTGGAGAAGAGAAATAAAAACAAAAATAAATAGAAAGAGATAGACGACAAGAAGATCGAGAGAGCAAATGGTAGACGAAAACGTACGAAAGAGAACGAACGAACGATCATCATCATCGTCATCATCATCATCATCATCATCATCATCATCATCATCGAAAAAATAAGAGAGAGAGAGATAGGGATAGACAGAGAACGAACGAAAGTAGGGAAGAAAGAAAGAAAGAAAGAAAGAAAGCAAGAGACGAAAAGAGACAAAGAAAGGAGAAGGTTTAAAGAAAAGAATAAGCACACGTGTATGTTACACATATCATATATATGTGCATACATATTCACATACTATGTCGGTGCATATATATAATGCATATACAT